GGAGTGTGCGTGACACCCAGGCGAGAGCCACATGTTGAAAAGGAGTCGCCCTCCTTCCTGGAAGCTGCTTCAAACTTCTAAAGCGAATGTGCGCGATGCCAAGACGAGAGCCACATCTTGAAAACCGCCCGCCCTCCTTTCGTGAAACTGCTGCCAACGTTTAAAGCGAATGTGCGCGGCGTTCCGGCGAGAGCCACATGTTTAAAAGAGGAAGCGCCTTCCATTTTGGAAGTTGCTGCGAACTTCTGACACGAATGTTCGCGGTGCCAAAGCGAGAGCCACATTTTGAAAACCACCCGCCCTCCATCCGTGAAGTGCGGAGCGAAAGCCATAACAATCGATTGAAGACGGTCCGCCCTTCATCCGTGAAGCTGCTGCACACTTTTGAGACGAGTGCGCGCGGCGCTAAGGCGAGGTCGACATTTTGCAAGCGGCCCGCCCTCCGCCCGTGAAAGTCTTGCGACTTTAGAGCTGCAGGATCATAACTGGCGAGGGAGGCGCGGGTGAATCGCCCGGCCCGCCCACAGCTCTTTACTAAGACTTTTATATAATCTCAAATTGGTAGGATTTTTTTCATTATCGCCACACTCTGCAGTCTGCACGGCATGGCAATTTCTCACCTGCCGACACGTCCAGGGGTCCTTCCGGGAGGAGCTGCTGATCAGCTCAGGCTAGCCAGTTCCGTGGCCTCTGCCATCGCCGAGCCCTGGCCTCTGTCGCTTGGGCTGCGAGTCGGGGGGGCCGAAGCCCCCCGTGGGCTCAAAGGAGGCGGGCACGTGCCCGGGCCGAAGCATGTAAGAGCCTGCTCAGGCCAAGGAGATCGGCGAAAGAAGCAGCGGGAGGCCGCTCTCTGCAAGAGCGGGGCGGTCCCCCATCTTCAGAGTGAATGCTACCCTGTCCACGACCGTGCCTCGCGCGTAGCGCAGCGCGCGCGCGCGCGTCGTCTTCGAGCCTTTCTGAGCGCGGGCCGCTGAGGCCTCCCTCTCTGAGAGTCGTGACCGGGGCGGGGGCCGGCTCCTAGGGCCCTGCGGCGCCCGGCCCGCACGCCGGCGGCGTGCGCCCACGGCTCCGCTGCCAGGAGCGAGTCGGCACGAACGCTCGCTGCCCGCAGGAGTCCGAGAGCCGCCCGTCGGCGGCGTGCGCCCCCGGCGGCTCCGCTGAGGGGCGAGCCGGCTCCCGACGCGACCCGCCCTCCGGGGCCCGCTGCGCCCGGCCCGAGCCCGCGGCCCCGCGCGGCGCACCCGGCCCGCCGGGGCCTCCCGCGGCCCTCGGCGGCCGCGCGGCCGGGCCCCCCCGCGGGCGCCCCCCAGCGCGGCAGCGCCGGGCCTCGGCGCGCCGCCGCCGACCGCGGCGCTCCGCCGGCGCGGCGCGCGGCCGAAGGCGCGCGGCCGAAGGCGCGCGAAGGCGCCCGCCGAAGGCTCTCGCCGAAGGCGCCCGCCGAAGGCGCGCGAAGGCGCCCGCCGAAGGCGCCCGCCGAAGGCGCCCGCCGAAGGGCCGCGGGCGCCTCGCTCGGCGGCGGTGGCGCGGCAGAGCCTCGGGCCGTCGGCGGCGGCCCGGCGGGGCGCCGCGGACGCTTCGTGGCGGGCGCTCCGTGGCGGACCGCCGATCGATCCGCGCGGACCTCCGGCGGGGCCCCGTGGGGCGGCGCGGCGGTCGCCCTGGCGCTCCTGGGGCACGGGCCAGCAGGATCGCAAGGCTGCGCGGATGTAGCTTGCCGGCCCTGCGACCCTGGCGCCCCAGTTTTTTCGAGCCCGGCGCTTCTGGCCTTGTTGGGGGCTCTGGGGATCCGGCTCGAAACACATGACGCAGAAAGACAGTGTTTAGGGCGGCGGGCGTGGTTTTTTTTTTTTCGATGTTGCAATTTTTCGGTACGTCGGATCTCAGGGGAGGGTGTGGTGCAGCCATGCCTCGTCGGCCCGCCCTTGGCCACCTTCGCTGGCCAGCCCCCACCCCCCCAAGAGGCGGCTTGACCTTGGGTGCCCAGGGGCCTCGCGCCCTAGCTCACCGCGCATCCCCATGGCCCGGCCGCCCTGTTGCGCAGGCCGAGCGCTCGGCTGGCAGAGGTGCCTGCCTCCACGGGGCCCACCGCAGCCGCCGCCTCCCATGGGAAAGGCCGCCGCCGAGCGGCGGGGCGCTCCTGGGGTGGTCGGCGCTGGGCGCGGGGGGGAGGGGCTCCAGCACAAGGTCACTTCGTGCGTGTGGCCCCGGACGCCTCCCGAGGCCGCTGGGGGGCCCTCCCGGGCCGTCCTGGGGGGGGGCCTCTCACAGTCAAGGCGCTGACGTGAGGAACAGTCTGGGCTCGGAAGAGGCTCCATGATTATTGCCAGCTGTCAGCTTGCGTGCCTTAACTGCTCAGGAGGAGGAGGAGGAGGAGGAGGTTCAACCGCAGCAGGAGGAGGGCTCAGCATGAGATCCATGGTGTCTTGAAGTTGTAGGTCGCGTGAAGGTTCAGACTGGCCTGTCCTGGCGGGGGGGGGCAGATATGGATGAGAAGTGGGCCGAGGACGGGAGAAAGAGTGAGTGGAGAGTTCAATGTGTCTCTTATGTTTCTTCCTCCTCCTCCTCCTTGTGATTATTCCTCTTCCTCCTTCTTATCCTTCCTCCCTCCCCCTCCCCTACGACGACGTACGACGACGACGCACGATGACGATGACGTCTGGCGATGGCGACGACATTCGACGACGAAGGAGGAAATGAGCGCGAGGGCCAGGTGGAAGTGGACACACTGACGATGTCGGAGGTCTGGACTCCAGGCGCAGACGCCCCCCTAGGAGCCGAAAGCTTCACGAGAGGCAGGCATCTGTTTCGGCGTGTGGAGGCCACAACCGCGCACGAAGTCTCCAGGACTAGAACTGCGCCCCAAAGCGGTCCAAGAGGGCGCCTGGGCGGGCCACGAGCGCCACTGCCTCTCCTCCTCCCCGTCCACTCTTTACTGCTTCCTCACCCTTGCCCTTCCTGCCTCCGTTCTCCTGCTCCCATCTTCCTGGCCTCCTCGCGCCCTGGCCTCTTCTTGCGCACTCACTCCTCCACTCCAGCTATCTCCCCTCCGGTTGCCTCTGTGCGCCCTCACTCCTCATCGCTTCCCATCCTCCTTTGGTCTTCAGTAGACCCTCGACTCTCTTGCAACAACTCTCACTCCCCATGGATTCACCTGGAATCCTGTGCGTACGCCTCGCCAGAACCTAAGCGCTCGCGAAGCGCGCGTGGTCCTAGTGTGTACACATATATTCATGTATTTCTATATATATATATATATATAGAGAGAGAGCTTTAGAGAGGGACAGGGAGGCAGGGAAAGAGGGATGGGAAAGCAGAGGGAGGCAGAGGGAAAGGGGTGTGGAGAACGGCGGAGCGGTGCGAGAGATGAAGCTGGCCGTGTCAGACGAGCCACGCCCCTCCTCGGCGGAGCGCGGTCCTTGCTCTCTTTGGTTGCGTGGCAGCGCAACCCTCCAGGGCCTCCTCGTCCTCGTCCTCCTCCTCCTTCTCCTCCTCCCAATCCTCCTCCTGCTCCTCCTCCTCCTCCTCCTCCTCCTCCTCCTCCTCCTCCTCCCCTCACCCGTCCCTGCTCCCCGTTTCCGTCCCTCAATCTACCCTCCCTCCTCCCCCTCCTCGTCCTCCTTCGCTTCCCTCCTACCCCCCTCCTCCTCATCCTCCCCTCCTCCCTCCTCTCCTCCTCCTCCTCCTCCTCCTCCTTCCTCATCCTCATCATCATCTCATCATCATCATCATCATCATCATCATCATCATCATCATCAATCATCATCATCCCCATCCTCCTCCTCGCTCCTCCTCCTCCCTCCCTCCTCCTCCTCTCCTCCTCCTCCTCCTCCTCCTCCTCCTCTTCTCAGGACTTTTCTCCTCCTTCTCCTCCACCTCCTCCTTCCCGTCCCTGCTCCGCTGTCCTCCCCCCTCCTGGAGCAGCAGCGGCGGCGGTGCGCCGCCGCCGCCCGCGGAGGCCCCAGCCGGCGAGCTCGAGCTCGCGCTGCGTGCGCCGCTGCTGCTCGCCACCGCGGCGCTGGCGCCAGGACCCGCCAGGGGGGCCCTCAGAAGTGAAGCCACCACCACCTCCCATCCCCCCTCCCTTCCTCCACCCTCCTCCACCCTCCTCTCACTCTCCTTTTTCCCTCCCTCTCGCCTCCCGCCCTCCTCTCACCCTCCCTCCCTCCCTTCCTCCGCCCTCGCTCCTTTCCTCCCGCCAGCGGGCCCCAAGAAGGCACACCCCATCCCCCCGCCCTTCCTCCACCCTCCTCCTCCGCCCTCCTCTTCCCGGGGGGAGGGGAGGGTGTGTTTTCTGGCTACGTGCCGCCGCGGCCCTCGCGCGGCGCGCCGCTGGGCGCCGATTGCCGCCGATCGCTGCCGGCTGTCGATCGCCGCTGGCCGCCGCCTTCGGTAGCAACTCATAGGAGGGGCCTTGTAATATGTCCTCACAGCTCCGTCTTTTGGAATGCATTAGCGTGCGCTAGCGTCTTGCAGTCAAGGAGAAAGGGCCGAATTAGTGTCGACTGGCGTCGATTTAGCGTCGACTCGCGTCGAATATCGTCGACCAGCGTCGATTCGCAGGAGCCAGCAAGACGACGCGGGAGGCTCCCATGACTTGCCACAGGATCCTCGCATGGCCCCTCAGCGCGGCGCGCCGCTCGGTGCCGATTGCCGCCGATGGCCGCCGGCTGTCGATCGCCGCTGGCCGCCGCCGCCGCCGGCGGTCCGTCCGTGCGGCCGTCTCTCCGCCGCAGCCCAGTCGTCGGCCGATCATCGTCTCGTGCGCGTTGCCGTCGCCGCCGCCGGTCGTCGTCGCCGCCGCCGCTGTCGTCGCCGCCGCCGTCTTCGTCGTCGTCGTCTTCGGCGTCGTTGTCGTTGTTGTCGTCGTCGTTGCGGTCGTCTACGCTGCCCGTCGTTGCTGCCGCCGTCGCGGTCGTCATCGTAGTCGTTGCTTTCCCCTCGTCGGGCCTTGCCTAGGTGGTAGCCCTGGTTGTCTTGATCAGAGGGTTGATGACTTTGGGGTGGTACGCGCGGCGGGCTGGTTGACACCCGGGCCTTGTCTCTTCGCGTGTATGTTGGAGAGCTTGCGTAAATTAGCATGACCATTGCTATTAGCATCAACATCTGAGGAGCATAGGGTAGCGTGGATGTCATAACTAGCTATTAAACTGCCATGATGTTGCCATCACCGCGCGTGAAGTGCTTCATGCTCTGAGCGCGTCTCCCCCCTTCGCCTCCTCCGCGGCCAATCTCGATCTTTTCCGTTTGCAAGGGCGCGCAATTGGTTCGTCTTCTACCCGGCTGTTGCCACATGGCGATTCCTGCCCCGCCGCTGACGACAGCGCTCGTGTAGCATGCAGCAGGGCGTGGCACAGCACACGTAGACGCCGCGGCAGTGCACCAGCGCGCGATCAGCCCTTCAAGACTGGGCTGCTGCCGCATGGCGATCCCTGCCCCGCGTCGCCGCCGACAGCGCCCGTGCAGCATGCAGCAGGGCGCGGCACAGCACAACGCAGGCGCTGCGGCAGCACTCCGCAGCACAGGCGCACCACAGCCTTGGTAAGGAGGGGCGCCGCCCCGGGGCGCGGCTACCAGGCTCGGTTCCTCGCGGCTTGGGCGCCAGTTGTAATGTAGCTGAGGGGGCTCGAGGGGGCCCTGATTGTGTTGCAGTCGGACCGAGGTATGCGATCGAGGTCGGTTCGGGGAGGGTACCCTGATGTTCTTCGCGTTGAGCGGAAGTTGTTGTGCATCCTGGGGAGGGTACCCTTGGACGTTCTGTCTGTTTGGCCGACGGAGGGTCTCAGGTCCTTGAAGCATGCTATTCTGGCCGATGTGCGACTGTTAGAGAACCAAAGTCCAGAACATGTTCGAGGCCAATGCTTTTACAAAGTTCGAGCTGAAGCCCATCTCTTCCCCCATCAGCCACTTGCAAGGCGCCGGCTCCTCTGGTGAGCTCTGTGCTGTGGTGTGCCAACGTCGCTGCGTGCTGCTGCGCTGCGCCGCGCCCTTCAGTCACAGGAGGGCAAGGTGCCGATACCGCTGCCCCTCCCTCGTTTTCCCCTCGTTGGGCCTCCTGGGAGGCCCTCATCGCCACCGCTGGGTTCACCTCGAAATTCCGGTCAGAGCCCACCCCGGAAGAGGTCCAGGGAGTACAGTCAACCATGATAGTCAGGATGGGGCAATTTTCCAAGGCTACCCTTGCATCCTTGCCCCTTCGGTATTCGGCATCCTTCGGCATTCTGCTGCGCTCCGCACGGAAGACGTCAGCATGGCGTTCCAAGGCCCTTTGCATCCTTACCGCGCATCCTCACTATCCTGGTCGAGCGTAGCGGCATCGGTACGCTGCGGTTTCCACTCCAAAGATGGTGCCGTCGTGGTGCTGCGGCAGGGTGGTGCCATGCTGTGGCTGCGCGGTGCCAGTGACAGGGCTCTGGCTTCCAGCGCGCCCGTGCGCGGCCGGGCAGCGCCCCCCTGTGGGTGCTGCCGTCCAGCGCCACACCGTGCTGCTCGATGCGATGCCGTCCAAGGCTGCGCGGTGCTGCTGTGCCCTGATCTGCCAGGCGGCGGTACGCTGAGCACGTCATCGTGCATTGCGCGGCACGGCATGGCGTTGCACGTTGCACTGCAGTGCGCAGGCGCGATTTGAGCAAGAAGCGATACTCCCAAGGGGGGTCGCGCTGGGTTCATGGGTTTCCGTGTCGCCCTCCCCTTCCTTGTCATCCCTCCTCCATGGCCTATCCATCGTGTCTCTTCCTGAGTGCTTCTCCCTTCCCATTCCGTTGTTCCTCGCCTTCTTCCCCTTTTCCTTTTCCTCCGTTCTCCCGCTCCTCCCTCCCTCCGTCCCGTCCGTCCCTTCCCCTCCCCATCCATCCCTCTCGATCCCTTTTTCCCGTCCTCGTATCCAGTTCCTCCATTCTTCGCCTCTTCGTGCTCCTCTTGCTCCTCCTCGTCCTCTTCCTCTTCCTCCTCCCTTTTACTCCTCGCTCCTCTGTTCCCCCCCAGGGGCCAAGCAGATGGTCTCCGTGACGCTTGCGACGCCTGAGGTCGCCTGACGCCTGAGCAGGATGAGAGGAGGAGGAGGAGGAGGAGGAGGAGGAGGAGGAAACGAAAGCTGAGGAGGTGGAGGAGGAACAGGAGGAGGATAAGAGGAGGAGGAGGAGGAAGAGAAGGAGGGGGAGGAAGAAGAAGAAGAGGATAGCGAGGAGGAGTAGGAGGAGGAGGAGGAGGAGGAGGAGGAGGAGTTCCAGGAGTTCCAGCTTGCGACTGTGTCGGTCAGTGTGTTTAAATCTTGCCTGGGCAGTGGCTTTCTTTGCCTTCTCTGCTGAGCTGTAGTCATTGGGCCACTTGCCTTCAGAGATGCTCCTGAGATAATATGCCCGATTACTCTTGGCCTGTCCGATGCATTCACATCCGAGTTTCGCAATATGCTGCGCTGCGAAACTGCCACACACACACACCACAAAACCAGGCATCGAACCCGAGTGAGACTTTGACTGGTGAGTAGTATGAGCCCATGCCCCCCCACATATATATATATATATATATATATATATATATGTATATATATGTATATATACATATGTGTAAAATATGTATATCTGAATATATGTATGTATATATATATATATATATATGCACCCAACTCCAAGGGGGGGATCAACAACTACACCATGTATCGACCTCAAAGGAAAACACGGCGAACCCAACCATTCGCGACGAGCAGCCTGGGAGGCCGAGCCCCGACATTGCAGACACGAAGTACCTTTCTCAGTCCACTGATGCTTCGTGACAGAGGGAGCACCGACACGAGGAGCAGGGGGGGCCTGGGCCCAGGGGGCCTAGCCCTAGCTGTCCTGGACCCCTCGAGGGACAGGGCCTGTTCGGCCTCTGGAGTCTGCCAGGTGCTCATGAGGATCCGCATCCCAGCTGAATACGCCTGAGAACTCTACTCGAGCCACTCGGGCCCTGTCGCGCCGCAGCATGTGTCTGCTACTGACTACCCCTGCCAGGTGATCGGCTGCTGTGCTGCCGACTGACTGCTGACAGGAGAAGAGCTCGTCCTGCTACAAAGTCTACCAAAGCTCTGGCCTCCTGATGTCAGCGGACGAGCGAAACACAGCACTGCAAGGACTGGCGCTTCCCGAGTTCGGCCCCTGCTGCGTGCCACAAGTCCCCGTCCTCCCCTTCGGGGTTCCTGGGGCGACAAGCGTGCCACCCCTCGCACACGCTGGCCTTGTCTGTCACGTAAGTGATATGCCCATCCCCTCCCTGGAGGGCGGTGAACAAAGCAAAAAGCTCGCGAGGAGGAGGAGGAGGAGGAGGAGGAGGAGGAGGAGGGGGAGGGGGGAGATGCCAGGCAAGGACATGTGTTCTTGGCCCCGGACGTCTCCCCCCCCGCCCCCGCCCGAGGTCCTCAGAGCAGGGCGGAAAGCTCCAAGCCGTCGACCGAGCGGAGCAGAGGAGAGCCCAGGAAGACAGAGTCGTGAGGCCACGGTCTCCGCTGGGGCGGGCTCCCCCGCGGAGCGCGCACGACTCCGGCATCTGCTCCGCTTCGCCCCCGCCCGAGGTGCTCGAGTGCATGGGCGGGATGCAGATCCTTCCCGGCGAGGCCGTTCCCTGACGGCGGCTGCTCTCTCCGCCGGCCGCGCGGTTCGGGAGGCGGCGGCGGAGCGCTTGCGCCGTCGCCGTCGCAGGACCGACTCGAGGTTCGAGGCCGTCGGTCAAGCAGTGGCGAGGCGTCCTGGCTCGCCCATAGCCCCCCCAGAGAATGCGCTACGGGTCATCTGTATGGTTTGCGCGTGATGTTCTTAGAACATGTTTGGCTGAGAGCGTCTTGTTTTTATAGCATCGGCTTTCTGTTCTAAGAGCAATTGTTTGTTCTTCGAGCATTATTCGGTGGCGAGCGAAGGGGTGAGGTGAGAATGATAAGGCCTTCTCAGAAGGACCCGAAACTTCTCAGAAACCTTCGCGCCTTCTGAGAGGGATGTCGTGTCTTCCTGGAAGGCTTAGACGACTTCTCAGAAGGCCAGGGGATTTCCGAGCCTTCTGAGAAGGCCCGCCCCTTCTCTCTTCCTCCCCTCGCTCGCCGCCGACTTCTTGCGTTCTGAGAACATTTCGTCGGTTACGTAGGCCTCAAGGAACACATTTTGGTCTGCGGGTCGAGAGCGAGCCTCTTCCGGTTAAGAGCTAGGCGGGCCGCGCAAAACACTAATTGGGGAGACAGAGCACAGGCGGGCGGGGCCTCAGGCGGCCGGAGGGCGCGGGGTGCAGTCGCCTCAAGGAATACAGTGACGGTCAGTTCTTGCTCATTTTCGTCGGTTCTCGGCTTTCCAGCCTCGTTGTTGGAGCCAGCTGGGGATCTGAAGTGGACCAGCATTGGTTTTGGCGAAAGAGAAGGGGGGGCGGTTCGAGGTTCTGGGTTCGAGAAGGGTTTTTGCCTTCTTCTGTCTCTTGGGCCAGTTCCTGTTCCCCGGGACTGTCAAAAACGGACCCGGCGTGAACCTTTGCACCAGATGGTCCTTGGGAAGGGTCTGGGGACCGATTTTGAGAGGCTTTGTCGGCCATGCGCAGAGGGGGGGGGAGGGGGAAGGCTTCTTAGAAGCACCCTGCTTCTTAGAAGGCGCGGGCCTCGTTTGCAGATGTGAGGGCGGCGCCTTCTAAGAAGCAGCCTCTTCCTGAGAAGCCTTCCCCCCTCCCCCTACCCCCCTGTGCGCGCCGCCAATTCTGCCCTCCCCCCCCCCTCTGGACCGCCTTCTCTCGGGGCCCGACCAGCTCAGACCCCTGGCCGCCCTCCACCTCGGAGAGCCTTCGGCGGCCGCGCCTCGCAGCGAGCGCTCCAGGGACGCTCGGACCGTCCCGAGAGGCCGCCGGAGAGCCGAGTCAGGGACCGAGGGCGAGTTGAGACAGCGGCTGCTGGCCTTCGGGGGGGGGGGGCCCTCGTCGCCTCGCAGCGAGCGCTCCAGGGACGCTCGGATCGTCCCGAGAGGCCGCCGGAGAGCCGAGTCAGGGACCGAGGGCGAGTGGAGACAGCGGCTGCTGGCCTTCGGGGGGGGAGGGGCCCTCGTCGCCACGGCTGGAGGCAGCTGGGGAAGCTGGTGCGTTTGGACCCCGGGAGGAGGAGGAGGAGGAGGAGGAGGAGGAGGAGGAGGAGGAGGAGGAGGAGGAGGAGGAGGAGAGGAGAGGAAGGAGGAGGGAGGAGGAGGAGGAGGAGAGGAGGAGGAGGAGGAGGGAGAGGGGGGACCGGTTTCGAGCTGCCGCTTCCTCAACTCGCCCTGCTCCGAGACGACGGGGGCGCGCAAGAGGGCCAGGACGCGCGGGACCACCTGGCATCGCTCGGACGTGTGCGTTTTTTTTCTCGGCGAGGACCATCGAGGAGATTCCTTGATCATTTGGCGAAAAAACCACACACGAAACAAAAAAAAACAGGAAATGGACGTCCGAGCGATGGCCAGGCACGAGGGCGGCGAAGAGGGCGAGGTTGGCGAAGAGGGCATGGACTGTGAAGAGGGCGTGGCCGAGGGGAAGGGCGTGGCGTAGAATGTGAGGAGGAGGGGTGAGGGGGAGGAAAAAGAGGAGGAATGATAATAATACCAAACATCGCATTCATAATAGTATTCATAACAACAAGAAGGCGAATAACAAGAAGAAGCATACGAATCATGATCAACATACTCGCAATATTAATAATCATAAGACTAACCCGACTACTCATAACAATAATAATGCTATTCACGATACGGGGAATACGAACAACATCAAACTAAACGTACTGACAAGATGCCTAATCTGAGGAACCCTGAACATACAAGTGGTAGTATTAAGAAGAGGAATCCCACGATCAATAGCAATATTACTCTTAATATTAGCATCCGTAAGACAACATACGATTAAACGTAATACGAGTAAGACGTATAAGCATACTAACAGTACTAATAACCTACTAAGAGCAATCATATTAATGGTAAGAAGAATACTAAGAGGAGGAGGAGGAGGAGGAGGAGGAGGAGGAGGAGAAGAAGGAGGAGAAGGAGGAGGAGGAGGAGGGTTGGGGGATGGAGAGAGGTGAGGAGGGAGTCGGAGGGGGAAGGGGGAGAGGGACGGGAGGGCTAGGGGAGGACGGGGAGGAATGGGTTGGGCAGGATGAGGAGGAGGAGGAGGAGGAGGACGACGACGACGACCATAAACACGAAGACGAGGAGGTCGATGAAGTCGAGGGGGAGGGGGGGGAGGGAAGGGCCAAGGGGGAGGGCATGGAGAAAGGAACCAGGGTTGGAAGGAGGGATGGGGGCACGGGAAGAAGGGATGGAGGGTGGGGGGGAACCCTACTTCGTTTGTGGCGCTGGGGTAAGGGGTCCCAGCAGAAGTTTTTGCAGATTTGCTCCTTGTGGCAGCCACCCATGCGTGGGCTCCTTGCCTGTTTCGACCTTATGCATGCTGTCCCGCCCGCGTGACCGTCCTCGTCCTCCTCCTCCTCCTGCTCCTCCTCGTCCTCCTCCTCCTCCCTCCTCCTCCTCTCTCCTCCTCCTCCTCCTCCTCCTCCTCCTCCTCCTCCTCCTCCTCCTCCTCCTCCTCCTCCTCCTCCTCCTCCCCCTCCTCCCACTCCGTGCCCTCGTGTGCACTGTCAGTTCGCAGTCCTTTGCCCCGCGCGACACGCGGTCCGGCAGCTCGGACCCTCTGGCTGTGGTCGGCGCAGCGCCGAGGGCACCCGCAAAGGTTCGCGGAGGAGACGACCTCGCCTCGCGGTGCAGGGCAGAGGCGCGGCCCTTCCCGCGGGGCGGCGCGTCGGAGGACGTGCAATCGGGGGGCGACGAATGGAGGGGCAGCGAGGGCTGCCGAACAGGAGCCCTTTAGGGCCCCTGGAGGGGCCGTGCCCGTTCTCCCCGCCGCCCCCCCACTAATTCGCGCCCAAGCGCGAGGGCGGACGCGCTCCGCGCAGCGCGAGGGCGCAGAGTTGGGTGAACCGCCCCCCCCCCTCGACGTCGACGGCGGTGACAACGTCGGCGACGACGACGACGACGACGACGAGCCCAGCCCCTGGAGGCGCGCAGCCGCTTCCAGGAGACGCCCATGCTGCCGGCGGGCGGCGGCCGCGGCGCGCTGACCTTTGAGTGCGCCAGCGAGCGCAATGCGCAGGACGCGGGCCATCGCTGCCGCCGTCGCCGCCGCCGCCGTCGCCGCCGCCCACAGCCGGCGTTCGGAGGAGGGCCAGTGGAGACCACGGCAGGTGGCTTTGGGGGGCTCCCTGGTGGTCCAGGGGCCTCCGCTCGAGCCGCCGTGGCCTCCGCTCGCCCTCCGCCCGGCCGCCGCCCCCCGCAGGAGGCCAAAAACCCATCGTGCAATTGATCATGTGTGCCTTCTCGCCGAGGCCGTCTTGGAAGCTCTCATCGGTCGCGGCACCCCCCCGTCCAGGTCCAGGGGGAGGGGGGAAGGGGGGTCAAGCCACGCTCCTGGATAGCAGGCCGCCGCCGGGGCGGCGAGCGCAGGGCGCAGGGCGCGGGCTGTCGCTGCCGCTGCCGCCGCGGGCGCCGCCGCCTTGGCCGCAGCCGCCCGCTTCGCCGGCTTCCGGGCGTGCTCGTCGGCTCCCGGAGGGCCTCCTGCGGGAGGCCCGCCGGGATGCCGCCACACTGCGCGCGGCATGCCGCGGCACCCCGCGGCGTGCCGGAGCGCATGCCGCGGCGTGCCGCGGCGTGCCGCGCAGGGCCGAGGGCACTCCCTGGGGGGGGGGGGGGACGGGTCGTCCCGCGCACGGCCTGCCGGAGACCCGACCCATGACCCGAAAGCCGGGACCACCTGGCATCGCTCGGACGTGTGCATTTTTCCTTCGTCGAGGGCCATCGAGGAGCATCCTTGATCATTTGGCGAAAAAACCACGCACGAAACCGGAAAAAAACACAGGGAAGGGACGTCCGAGCGATGGCAGGTATAGGTTTGTGCACCACGCAGGGAGGATCCAGCGCCGCCGGTGTCGTTGACTTCGGGGCCCCCCGGAGGCGCACGTCGGGCAGGGGCAACAGAGGGGGGGAAACCGATGGGCTCAGAATCGCCAATTCATCGCTGATAATCAGAGCCACGAATCATCAGGGATAACTCGGGTCAGGGCTAACTCGGGTTCGTTTTTCGGGATTCCGAACCCGAGTTATCCCGGACCCGAGTTACCCCGGATAGTTCGGGCGTCCAGAGCCCCGAATCATCAGGGGTAACTCGGGTCAGGGCTAACTCGGGTTCCTTTTTCGGGAAGAGTTAGGACCCGAGTTACCCCGGATGGGCAAGATAGGGACCTGCAGTGCCCCATCCTGCCCTGGAGCTCTTGGTTGCGCTATCGGGGGCCGATCACCGACTCGCCGATCGGTATCCGATCTATCGGCGATGTACAGCAGGCTCGCGCCGTGTCGACCGGCGGCGACCCCGCCGCCGGCGTTCCACGTTTGACTCCGCCAGCGACCCAGAATCGGTCGGTGTTGAATGCTCCGACGTTCTGGAAACGGCAGATCGTTCAAGGTTGAACTATCCCCGCGGTGTCAGGAGCCAACGCCAGGGTCGACACGACGCGAGCCTGCCGTATCGTATCCCCCCTATCGCTCCCGCCCGTTCAGTCGGGCTCCGCTGGCTCACAAGAGGTGGCCCAGAGCACGGGCTCCTGGAGGGCAGAGTCGGCCTGCCTATTTGCAAGACCACCGCAGCCAGGTCGCACAGCAATTCTCCCAAGGTTGCCCTTGCATCCTTCACCTGTCGGCTCATCCTTTTTTATTTATTGCGAAGGCCTTACGGCTGGTGCCGCCGACCCTGAATGGCGACGACGACGACGACGACGACGACGACGAGCGCTCTTGGGGGCCTCTTGGGGGTAGTTTGTGGGCCTCTTGGGAAGCTCTGAGGGGCCGCTTGGAAGCCTCGTGGGGGCCTCTTGGGGCTTCCTGGGGGTCACTTGGAGGGGGCCTGGGACGTCTTGGAGGCTTCTTGGACGGTCTTGGCGCTATCTTGGGCGTTTTCGGCCGATCTTTGGGCGACTCGGGGCCCTCTTGGGCCGTCTCGGGGGCCATCTTGGGCATTCGGACCTCATTTGGAGTGTTTTCGAGGTTTCTAGGCCGCCCGAGGAAAAACGAATCTGCCCCCCCACCCCCCCGGGACCCCCCCCGGGACCCCCCCCCCCTTGGGGAAGGGATCAAAGGGAAGGGGCTTCCCTTCGACTCGATTACGACACTGCTAGATTTTTCCTTCGCTCACGAGCTTGAGAAGGAAGCTGCAGGGAAAGGGGACGACGGAGGCGACGACCGACGGAGACGACGACCGAACAGCCAAGCCCCTCGCACACGCCGACAGGGTCGGCGGACTTTTTTCCGAACAAACAGGATGAGCCGACAAAAAAAAACACCTGTCGGCTCGTCCTGGGCCACCTTCGCTGGCCGCGCCCCCCTCGAAGGGTGTCTGACACCGCCCCCCCGTGCCCCTGGCACCCGCACCGAGGCTCACGCTTGCCGTGCTCGACGGCCCCGGGGCCCCGCGGGGGCCTCCGGAGGCCGACGGGGGCGAGCGAGGAGGCCCCCGCCCTGCATTGTCTGCGGTGCGCCCCCGGAGGGCCACTCGTTGCCCTCGTGTGCCCGCATCCTCGCTCTGCGCCCCGACCGTGTCCTGTGGCGAGGCCTCTCGTCCTGCCGGGCCTCCCCCCCCCCAGAGCTCTTGGCTGGCAGTGAGCTCTGCGCGTCCCCCGGGCTCGCCCTGCCCATCTCCTCCTCCTCCTCGCTCCTCCTCCTCCTCCTCGCTCCTCCTCCTCGCTCCTCCTCCTCCTCCCCCTCGCTCCTCGCTCCTCGCTCTTGGCTCCTCCTCCTCGCTCCTCCTCCTCCTCCTCCTCCTCCTCCTCCTCCTCTCCTCCTCCTCCTCCTCCTCCTCCTCCCCTCCTCCTCCTCCTCCTCCTCCTCCTCCCCCCCCCCCTCCTCCCGTGCTGCTCGGCCTGTGCAGCTGCAACGGCGGCGCCCAGGCCTGTCCGCCCTGCCGAGAGGCGGCGGGAGGGCATCGATCTGGTCTCTTCTCGCTCCGGCTCTTGTCCGCCCACCTCCTCCCTTTGGGTCACGCGCGCTCCTCCGGGACGGCGGCGACGGCGGAATAGTTCTTGGCCGGCTGCTGTTGGGTGTCGGCTTCGGGCCCCGACGAAATTCCTGGAAGCTCTGGGCCGATTTCGGTGGGCGGCTGGGTTTCGGGTTCCCGGTTCGGGGTTCTCGGGTTCCAGTTTGCTGGGTTTGGGCCGATTGCGCTGGGCGGCGGGGTTTCTGGTCGATTTCCTTATCGATCCCTTGATCGATCCCACGATCGAATTCACTATCGATCTCATGTTCGATATCATTATCAATCTCACTCAATCGATCTCACTCAATCGATCTCACTGTCGATATCACTTATGGACTTCGCTCAATCGACCTTACTATCGGTCTCACATTCGATCTCACTATCGACTTCTCTGTCGACATCACTATCGATCTCACTGTCGATCGCAACATCGATCTCCGTATCGATCTCTTGATCGATCTACCTGTCGATCTCACCGTCGATCTCACTATCGACTTTACCCAGTCGACTTCACCATCAGTCTCACTGTCGACTTTACAATCGTGCTCAGTACCGATCTCACTATCGATCTCATAGTCGATCTCATTATCCATCCCACGATCGAACATTATCAATGTCACTATCGATCCCACGATCGATATCACGATTTCTTTCACAATCGATCTGACTATCCAGCCACTGGACGTCATGGGCCAACGTCGGGATACATAATTATATGAATATATACTTACATGGGGAATTCATATCTACATATGTGTATGCATGGCCGGAGTAACATCTAGACACGTGCATGTAAATCAAACCTTCCTGTTTCGGTGCGCGACAGCGCAAGTCCTAACGATTCGGCCCATCCGGAAACGATGCCCACGTGACTTGTCTAGATCGGGGGCTGTTGTAAGCAAGTAGTGAATCAGGGATGCCAGCAACGGGGATGATGAAGACCAGGAGGAGGAAGAGGAGGAGGAGAAGGAGGAGTGGGAGGGGGAGAAGGAGGAGGAGGAAGAGGAGGAGGGGGAATAAAGGGAAGAGGAGGAGCTATGATAAAGAGGGATGCAGGGACGACGCGGATAAGTACAGCAAGAGGAGGGGGAGGATGAGGAGGAGGAGGAGGACGACGACGACGACATCAAAGAGGAGGATGGAAACGAGAAGAGAGAAGGAGGGGGAGGAGGAGGAGGAGGGAGCATGATGAGAGAAGAGGATGAGGGAGAAGAGGAGGGAAGAAGTGGAGGAGGAGCAGGACGAGGAGGGTACTGACGAGAACGAGGAAGAAGACGAGGACGAGGACGAACAGGAGCAGATGGACGAGGTCGAGGAGCGAGGGGTAGGGGATTAGGGAAATGAGGAAGAGGAGAACAACGAGGAAGAGGAGGAGGAGGAGGACGAGGAAAAGGAGGAAGGGGAGGAGGAAGAGGAGAACGACGACGACGATCAGGAGAACGACGAGGATGAGGAGGACGTGGACCACGATGAGGATGAGAACGTGGAAGAGGACGAAAAGGAGAAGGAGGAGGATAACGACGAGACGTGACCGCGGGGATCTCGTACAAGGCCCAAGAGTTTGCCTCAACTTGCACTTTAATTCTATTGTTTTCGACAGAGATGGTGGGCGGGGGTATCATTGTGTCGACTTTGCTCCCAATCAGGTGGGGGAGGGGTGTCTTCTAGTACGGAGCAGGAGTAAACCCCTCCCCGAAGGAAAAGAAGGGGGGTTGGATGAGGAAAGAAAGCATCAATAGACCACCTACGCTTACCTTACGCTAGACATCGTTCGTGTGATGCGCTCGACAGGTCGAACATGTTTGTTGTGTATTGCCGCAATGCTTCTATGGCGTGAGGACGTACACACTCTTGCGTCTAAGCGCCTATTCATGTGCCTTGGCGAGCAATTTTTCGTGTTCGTGCGAGCCCATCTTGCGAATATCCAGATGCGTTGCGGCAAATAGCCATCTGGGTGCCGGCTGGTCGAACGGTGATTACGACAACAACGAAGAGCCAATGCCGACGATGATGATTAGGATGATGATACTGATCATGTTGATGGTATTGTGCCTGCTGATCATCACGGTCATGATGATGTTGATGAACGGTGATGTTGAAGACAATGGCCATTGGCAAGATGAGGCGTAAGAAAAACGACTTCACATCCAGCACCTCTCGACCTCATTTCTGGGAGCTTATTCGGCCGTCCCGACATTGTCTTGGGCTCCCGTGGAGCAGTCTTGAGAGTCAAGTGAGCCGTTTGGGGCCCTCTTCACCGCCTGCCGTGTCTCTTCGGGCAGTTGCGTCGCGGAGCCGTATTGAGGTCGCATCGGGCCGTCTACGGGCCCTCTGAGGTTGTCTATCTTGGAGGCAACTAGGGCCGCTTCGAACCGACACATGCCCGAAACGACGAGAGTGCCACAACGTTTCTAGAGTTTACAAGGAATCAGTTTTCAGGGCCTCTTCGGGCCCTACGGCGAAACTGCGGCCAGGCATGGTGCCTGCGATTTTTTGTTAACCATCGCCCGATTGGGTTTTTCTCAGGTGTACTGATGATTTGCCCAGTTTGGAGGGGATTGCTAAAGACCTACTGCGGGTATCTGAGGCTTCTGCAAAATACCGTTTTCATTTTCCAGCCACAAGCGTGTTTGAACACATTGGGTGTCGTTACGCATGTAGGCACATTCGGGATGGATGCGTCTATATAGAGAACACGGCCGTTGCGTTCGGCGCAGTACATGGTCGGAGAAACTATAGAGCCGTCTACGATATGCTCCTGTTCTATGGCAGGTCCCACATGGTATTACAAGCACGCACGTCCAAGCGTTCATGTTTATCGAATGGCATTCGGCCTATCCCGCCACCGTGCCTAGCTTGTGGGTGTAAAGCTTATTGGATGTTCGCTGGGATCTCGTGGGGGGCCTCTCGAGGACCTCTTAGAGGCAGTTTTTGGACCTCTTGGGGGCCGTTTTGGGGCCTCTTGGGACCTCTTTCGGGTCTTTCGGGGGCCTCTTGGGGAGGATCGGCTGGCATCCCCCAGGCCAACGGCAGGCGTGCTCAAGTTCGACTCTAGCTGGAGAGGCCCCTTCGCGGCGGCGAGTCTTGCTCGCAGCGACGTTTTTCAGCGTGCTGCGGTGGGACGTGGTCGGGGGCGCGCCTGGGCAGCTGCTGCGCGGGGAGTGCGAGTGGGGGCGCTCCAGCGCGGGCAAGGAGCAGTTCCGCGGGATCTCCCAGGGCAGGCGGCCGCACTACCGCCCCACGCGGAACCACCTCCGGCCAGGGCCGCCGCAGTCCCTGGGTGAAGCCGCGGCCGACGGACTGCTTCGCCAGGGGGAGGCTGCCACCAGAAGCAGCCGAGAGAGAGCGCGGCGCGGGGCCGGAGCCACGGCGCTGCGCCCCCAGGGCTTCTCGGACGGGGCTCGGACGAGGATGAGCGTTTCGGAACGCTCTGGTAAGGCCCCCCTCGCCCGAGACATCCTCCAGAGCCGCCAGAGCTCAGAGATTCCCAATGGATCCTCGCCCGATTTGATCCTCGCCCTGGCTTCGTTTTTAGCTTGCGGAAGAAGGGCAGAGCGGCCGTGCTTGCGAGCTCCGGGCTGGCCCCGGAGCGCGAGAGGGCCTGCCAGGCAGCCGCGGCCGCGGGAGACGGCTCCGCCGAGGAGACGGACTGCATCCGGGCCGCCAGCGCCAGCGGCCGTCACCATGCCACGCCATGCCCAACCTCCCCCTCCTCGTCCGTCCTGCTCGTCCGTCCTCCTCGTCCGTCCTCCTCCTCCGCCTCCTCCTCCGCCTTCCCATCCTCCCTCTCCTCCTCCTCCTCCTCCTCCTCCTCCTCCTCTCCTCCTCCTCCCCCTCCTCCCTCCTCTTCCTCCTCCCCTCCTCCCCCTCTTCTTTCCCCTCCTCCTCCTCCTCCTCCTCCCCTCCTCCTCCTTCCCCCCTCCTCCCCTCCTCCTCCACTCTTCTCTCCTCCTCCTCCTCCTCTCCTCCTCTTCCTCCTCCTCTTTTCTCCTCCTCCTCCCCTCCCCTCGACCTCCTCCTTTCTCCTCCATCGTCCTCCTCCTCCTTCCATCCTCCTCCTCCCTCCTCCTCCTCGTTCTCCTCCTCCTCTTCCTCCTCCTCCCTCCCCCTCGTCCTCTCCTCCTCCTCCTCCTCCTCCTCCTCCTCCTCCTCCCCTCCCCCTCCTCCCCCTCCTCATCTTCCTCCTCCTCCTCCTCCTCCTCCTCCTCCTCCTCCTCCTCATCATCATCATCATCATCATCATCATCATCATCATCATCATCATCATCATCCTTTTCTCCTCCTCAACCTCCTGCTCCCCCTTCCCCTCGAGTTCCTCCTTCCCTCCTCGGCCGTCCTCCTGCTCTTTCGATGTTTGCAGTACCCCCAGTTCCTCCGCCCGCTTCCCGCCCTCGTCGCCCCCCTGCCCGGGCTCCGCCCTCTCTCCTGTGCGGCGGGGTGGCCGCGCGCGCGAACGCCAGCAGCTGATGGACCAGCTCTCCGCGGCAGGTCGGCATCGCCCCCAAGAGGATGAGTTCGCGGGGGAGGAGGATGAGGGATGTGTGAGACGTGGGAGGGGAGGGGAGAGTGGGGGAGGGGAGAGAGGGGGAGGGGAGGGGATGATGGGGGAGGGGATGAGGGAGAGGGGGAGGGGAGGGGGAGGGGAGGAGAGAGTGGACGAGGGGAGGGTAGGGGAGGAGGAGGGAGAGGGGGAGGGGAGGGAGAGGGGGAGGGGGGGAATGGGGGAGGGGCCAAGCTAGGTGCGCTGGCGCCTCATCTGACATCGTGTCCCTCCCTCGCATCCCTTCCCCTGGCACCGATTGCTCTCTATCCGCGGACGTTTTTCTCCATCCGCGGACGCGTGTCGCAGATTGTCATAACCAACCTGCGACTCCCACAGAAAGACCACTTCGTTTTGTGCGAAACTGGGAGAAGGTGAGCTGCGTGCACAGGAGGATGAGCTTGAGGAAAAGGATGAGGACGAACGGCAGCAGCAGAAACTAGATCGGAAGGATCTGGAGGAATAGGAGGTCCAGGGGAAGGCGGAGGAGGGGCAATGAGTGGGGGTGACAACGATGAAGAAGGACTCGGATTCAGAAAAGTGGCCCGCGCTGGGGCGAGACGAACAGCAGCAACAGGAACTGGAGTGGAAGGAGCGGGAGGGACAGACGGACCAGGGCAAGGCGGAGGAGGGGAAACGAGGAGGGGACCACAATGAAGCAAGACTCGGGTCCAGAAAAGTGGTCGGCGCTAGGGCGAGAGCGCCATTCCGAACGACGGGAGCAAAGCGCCGATCAGAAAATGAGGCCCACGCTGCAGCGGGAATACCATTTTGAAACACCGAAAACAATCGGATTTTGAACAACATGCGAAAATCAATATTGCTAAGGCCTTACGGCTGGTGCCGCCGACCCTGAAGACGACGACGACGAATACGAGGAGGAGGAGGAGGAGGAGGAGGAGGAGGAGGAGGGGGATTCAGGTGGAAGGGAGCAGGAGAAGGCAAAGGAGATGTTCCCCATGTGGGCCGAGGGAGTCGTAGGAGAGACAGACAGTGAGCCTTGTGGCCTGCGGCCCTTCCCGCCACCGTGCTGGGGTTGTGGTTGAAAGGCCTCTTGGCCTCTTGGGGGTCTCTTGGGGACCTCTTCGGGCCCCATGAGGGGCTCTTGGGGCCTTCCGGGCGCTTCTTGGGGCGGGAAGCTCGAAATGTCGGTTTCTGGTCCTCTTCTTGGGCCTGCTTGGGGCCCTCTTGGCGCGTCTTCGCGCTTTTTGGGGCTCCGGGACGCCCAGGTGCGGATGCGTATCTGACCCCCCCCCCCCCCCAGGATCTTTCTGGGACCCCCCCCTGGGACCCACCTTTGGGACCCCCCGGGACCCCCCCCCTCGGCGGGGGAGGGATCCAAGGGAAGGGGCTTCCCTTCAACTTACGTACGACGTTGCTACGGTTTTCTCTCGCTGGCAGGCTTGAAGAGGAGGGTGCAGGGAAAGGGGACGACGGAGACGCAGGAAAAGAGGACAAAATCTTGTGTGTAAAACAGCACGCGGAGGGGGCGGGAGGTCTTCCGGACAACTTCAGGGGAGAAGGGAGAGTAGTATTCGTAGTGTTTAATTGTAGATGGGGAGGGGGATGCGGTGGTTGGGAGGACCCCAGACAGATTGGCCCCAGATGGGGGGAACAGGGATTATGAGGAGGAGGTGGATGAGATGGCGCAAGAGGAAGAGGAAGATGAAGCGGAGGATGAGGAGGAGGAGGAGGAGGAGAAGGAGGAGGAGGAGGAGGGGGAAGAGGAGGAGGGCACCAGAGGTGGGGGGAAGACGAGGATGGAGGAAACTGGAGGAGAGGGTGGAAACGGATGATGAGCAAGAAGGGGAGCCGGGGGAGGAGGAGGAGGAGGAGGAGGAGGAGGAGGAGGAGGAGGAGGAGGAGGAGGAAGAGGAGGACGACGAGAGGGAGGAGGAGGAGGAGGAGGAGGAGGAGGAGGAGGAGGAGGAGGAGGAGGAGGAGGAGGGGGACGCTTGCTTTTCGTTACAGGGCAAGTTCGCGTCCATTCCTGTGGTTCTGCGTCTGCCCGACAGCGACGCCGCAGGTTGCACGCTGCAGGGCTTGACGGACAGATACAGGCCGGTCGTGCCACTGCTCCTTCAGGGGGACACGGAGGAGAAGAGGGGGCGCGTCTGCATGGACGCGTGCATAGCGTGCTTACGCTCAGAAGGAGGAGGGCGAGATGGGGAGGCAGGGGAAGAGGGGCAGGATGGAGAGGGTGTTCTAGGGACTTCGACGAGGGGATTTTGGTGCCAGGTGCAAGGGAGGGGGGAGGGGCATTGCAGGGGCCAGTGAGGGTGGAGATGGACGGCGGAGGGTGGGATGTCTGGCCGAAGGGGCACTCGCAGCCGCTGTGTGTTGTTTCTCTCGTTCTCTCTCTCGTTCGTCGTTATCTTGTTCCCCTTCAACCCCTCTTCATCGCTGTTCTCGCCATTCTCACCCGTCCTCTTGTTCGTGATGCCCCTCACCCCCTCCCCGTCCTTCTCCTTCTCCCTCCCTCCCTCCTCGTGTTACTTCTTATCCCATCCTCAGCCCCCCTCTCTAAGTGCTGGCAGATTGACATCAGTTTTAAGGGGGGCTGACCCTGTCAGCATGGCGGAGATCCTGCTGAGGATGCGGGGATCGCTTGGGTCAGGGGGGATTGTAGCAATTTCGGTCCCCAGGGGATTGTTGCATTAATGCTCTGCGTCTTACCCCTCGCTTGGCTGGTTACGGCTTGTGCAGCTTTTTGGCGACGGGGGCGGACAAGGAGCCGACAGCTTCACCGACCGTTGCTCTGTGCGGTGTGACAACACACGCTGAGAGGCACACGCTGAGAGGTCGTTTTGGGGCCCGCCCAAAACAGTCACCAAATGCCTCTGGTGACTTTTTTGGGGCGTGTGCCTTTTCCAGTCTGTATCTCTCCGAACGTGTTCTCGGTAATCCTCTGGTTGGTCCAGACCAACCCAGGCAGCACCGTCTTCAGCTCAAGCCTCTCTGGCATCTCGCAAGCCGGAGCTGCTGATCTGTCCAACCACATTGTCATTGGGGAGTTGTGGACCCGAACTACACGTCGGCAAGGCTGAAGGGGGCAGCGCAGCAATTTCGGTCCCCAGGGGATTGTTGCAATTTCAGCCCACGCATCGTCAACATCGTCGTCGCTACCCCTAGTCGCTGGCTCGAGCCTAGGCGACACTTTCCCTCCCGCCCAGTTTCGTCATAAGACGTGCTCGAGCCGCGCACGACGTCAATCGTGCGACGCACGGACTGGGATCCCATGGCACGTTCCGGATACTTACGGTTGGTATCATGCCCCAACGCACCATTAATTGACCACGCAGCCGCGTGGTACGATGCCGTGTTGGTTGCCCGCGGGGGCATTGCAGTATGTGACGCATCACGTTGCGGCCCCCCTTTAGAAGGATGCCTCCTGCATTATTTACATGCGAGGTGCGGGTGTTACCACATACGCGTTCGCCTCTCCAGGTGCACGCGGGGTGGAAGGAAAGCATCCCTGCGCAGGTCCCGCACGGGCCCTGCGCTTATCGGAGCTGGCTGCCAAAAGCCCCTCGCGGGGCTGGCAGTGGGAGTCCAACGGTCCACCCCGTATCTACTTACACTTAATGCCCACACTCCGTCTCTCCATACGTTCGCCCCCCGTCCCCCCCTAGCGATTGCATCCTCTCCGCTTCGTCTCCACGTTGGCCTCCCGTGGCGGCCCCGCGGGATGAGGACAACGGCAGGCGCGATCCGACCTAGCCCCCGCGAAGATGACCTCCTCTCATTCAGCCTCCTAATTTCTCGTCGTCTTCATCGTCATCACAGTCGTCACCACCCTCAGACTGTCATGCATCATGTGGCCGGCACGAGCACGGCACAAAGTGGGAACCGCACCACGCGTTGGTTGATGCGGTTGCAAGTTTGGCCTGATGTGAAAGAAGGGTGTTTGAGCGGTGTCCGTGATGCCCCGTTGGTGATACTGTTCTGGTTCCGGCAATGGGGTCCCGCGGCCCGCGGCCTTTCATGGAAGCCGATGGTCGACACCTGACGCACATCGGATGGGGCAACATTGATCCGACAATTAGAAAGCTGATGTTTAACTACCTCTACTGTGCTCAGTGAAGCTGCAGCTAAAACTCCGAAAGCTCCGAAGGCCCCTGGCGGGAAACCTCCCCACCAGCGGGTCCCTCGAGGTTTCGAAGGTCGAGCGAATTGTCGGCGTCGTCGGGCCCTTCTGATAGTGCCAGCGTTGGTTTGTGGCGCCCTCCCTGCTGGAGGCGAGCGCGAAAAACGTCTCCACGCTCGAGGGGCCCGGCCTTCGTGCACTGAGCCACCCGTTTCTCATGGCTCGCTCCTCGCAGCAGGCTTGAAATACCGCTCCTACGCAGCCCAGACCTCCATTCGAGCTATCAGAGCGGTCCGACCTAAGGATAGAGGCAGTTCCGTGGCGCTGATACTCCTTCGCCCTGCAGTTCATGCCAACTGTTGAGCAGCGTGGGGCCCAAACAGCGTCAAACGGTGAGCACTACTTATGCCGTTCAGGCCGGCTGGCGCAAGCTGTGTGTGGCGCCAGCTATGTGGGTGCAACCCCCGTGTGGCACCGGCAGGCTGGCGGGTGGCAGCCGTGCGCGGCGCAAGGCTGCGGTGGTGCGGCCTTCGCGTGGCAGGCAGCGCGGTGCAAGAGCTTACGACGGGCGGCGACGCGGCGCCCGCGGGCTGGAGACCCGGGGGTGGGCACCTCGCGACCTCCGGGCCGGCGCCCGCGGCCGGCGCCCGCGGGCGGCGCCCGCGCGGGAGCGCGGATTTCCCGGGTCGGCACGCGGGGCGCCCACGTCGAGTCCGGCGTATCGGGGGGGGGGTCGCGAACGGGGAGGGGGAGAGGTGCACGCCTCGTGCCCCCCGGAGGGGCCCCTCGAGGGCCCCCCTCCCCGTGGGCTCCCTCACGCACCTCCGAAGTGCCTTCCCGGGCGCTCCCGCAGGCACCTCCCGAGTGCCTTCCCGGGCGCTCCCTCCCAAGCGCGCCCCCAGGCGCTCCCAGGCGCTCCCCGGCGCTCCAAGGGGCCCACGAGGGGCAGGAGAGGTCTGGGTGGTAGGTGGCGGGGGGCGAAGGAGGGCGTGGCTTCGGGGCCATGGAGGGGCCCCGAGGGCCCCCCCCTTCTTGGGGCCCGAGAGGGGCAGGAGAGGTGCACGTTCCCCCCTCCCCCTCCTCCGTGATCGGGCCCTGTTGAAAAATGCCCAGCTTCTTCACCGCCCCCCCCCTCCCCGTTATCGGCCTTCCCCCCCTCGTTCAGCAACGCCCAACCCCCATCCCCCCTCTGTTTTCGCTCCCCCCCCCCCCCCCCCCCTCGCCGTTATCGCCGTCCCCGTTATCGCCCCCCCCCCCCCCCCCTCCCCCTGTCGTTCCCCTACGAACGCCCAACCACGAGGCGCCCACTGGCGGCGACGGGACGGGAACCCAGAAATTCCACGCACTGCTGCCTAGACAAAGCACGACCCCCCACAGTGCAGGCACTGTTTCGGGAAACACGGTCTTCCTTGTCTCCCTGTTCACCATCATCCTGCCCCTGTTCCTGTCAGTCCTCCCTCTCTCCATTTTTCCCCTCTCCCTCCTCTTCCCCCTCCCCTTTCTCCTCTCATCCTCCTCCTTCTCCTCCTCTCCCCCCTGATCATGGCCGGTTACGCCGCCGCTTCTCTCGCGCGCTGTGTTTGCACAGTTGCATGTCGCAAGTTACCCGCATGGACTGCGCGAGTGAAGAAAATCCCGCCCGCGGCGCGCTTCTAGATCGCTCAGAACATAGATTGCACCGCATGCCCCCCAGATGGTGCTTGCATTTCGGGTGTCGCGCTTCTGCTCTAAGGAGCTGGGGCGTGTCTTCGGTCTGGCGGCTATGTGGCCACCATCGCCGCCGCGTCGCCGCCCGTCCTCTGGGCCGCGTCTCCGGTCTGGCCGCCATGGGTCGGCCGTCGCCGCCCCGTCGCCGCCCGCCGTCTGGGCCGTGTCTTCGGTCTGGCGGCGGCGTGGCACTGCAGGGGAGCGTCTGCACGAACCCCGTTCTAATGCACATGTGTTTCGCGTAGCCAATTTTCCTGCCGATGCGCCGTCCAGGCGCGGCTGTGTGTGTGTGCGTGTGTGGCGGCGTGGCCGCCGTGGCCCTCCCCGCAGCCGCCTCGTCGCCGCCCAGATCGACTGTGTCCCACATGAATTGCTCAACGTATACTGCGCATCACATGGATTGCACAGCATAGACTGCGCCACATATGTTGAACCACATGGATTGCACCACGCATGTTGCACCACATGTTCTGCTCCACGTAAAGTGCACACCATCTGCACAGCATAGGTTGCACCATAGCCATATGTGCGGCACAACATATTCTGCACTACGCATGTTGCACTATATAGGCTGTACCACATAGACTGCACCGCACATGCTGCGCAGCATATATTGCATCACATACGTTGCATCACATCTATTTCAACACATTGATTGCAACACGCGTTTTGCTCAACATGGATTGCATCACGTGGGTTGCACCGAGTAGGCCGCACCACAAATATTGCACAACATGGAATGCAACCAGTAGCTTTTTCTTTCTAAAAGAGTAGTAGGATTTACCCCCCCTCGGAATTAACGCTCCCCCCTCTCCGCATAGTAATTTGCAGATGGTTATGGTTCATCGTCAAATTTAAACATGATTTCGTACCGTCTCAGGCAGGCTGGTATCCGCCCCTCCACTTTCAGCAAACATTTTATGCGCGTGCATTCTTTAGATCAGCAATCATCAGTTTCCAAACATCCCTTGCATACAAAGGGGACGGAATACACACGCGCTCGCCGTCGCGCGCCCATGCCGAAATCCTTTTTCACAACCCTAGGTCATGTAAGGATTTCAACATCGAGTGTCCCGCTATATATATATATATATATATATATATATATATACATATACATATGTATATATATATATATATATATATGTATGTATATATACACATTCATGTGTGTATACATAACTATATGTATGTGTGTGTTCCTTTCGCGCACGCGCATCGTCGGAATCGCTCAAACGCCCTTGCGCGCGTGCTGCTGTAATAATATCGTGCAACGCATGGGCACGCGCGCGTCGTCGCGCGTGCATGCCGGAATCTTGCAAACATTGTTCAGGTTTCGCACGAATTTCAAAATCGAGTGACCCGAAAACATGCGAAAACCAAACAGGTGGTTTTGCAACACCCGTTTTCGAAAATGCTTGCGCTCGCGCTCCTGCGAATTCGGAAGAAAGCCAGAGGTTATCCAACATTATCAGTACCTTCGGCCAGACGGCCCCTTCGCGCCGCACGTGGAAGTCATTCGAACGCCTTTGCGCGCGTGCTGGGGGGCGGCACGGTCCGTGTCCAATAATACCATGCGGACCACTCGCGCGTTGGCCGCGCGCGCATGTCGAACTCCCTCCAAAACGTTCGTCGCCGACGCGAAGGCGCCGTCATCGTCGTCGGCGTGATCAACATCGGCGCTGTCATTGGCTTTGCCGCCGTCGTTGTCATCATCGTCACCAGCACCGCTTCCATCATCATCGCGTCTACCTCTGTCGACGTTGCCATGATACCGCGCCCGCCCAAGCCGCCGACTCGCACCGAAGTGCCCGTTGGGAAGTGCCCGGCGGTCAGCGCCACCGCGGCCGCGTCGGCAACGCCAAACCATTTGGCCTCTGCGCGCGCGAGCATGCGCGGGCTAGCGCGACCGCAAGGATGCACCAGTCAGCTCCAAGCGCTCGTCGTAATCGCCGCCGCATAGGTTTTACAAACCAAGTTGCGGGTGGGTGGGTGGGATGATAACGCGAACAGTGGAGTGGACAACGCGCTGCGAGCAGCAATTAAACGCGCCACATAGATGGCTCCACATGAACAGCACCAAACATGTTGGTAGAAACACACGCTGTCTGGGGCCCGCGCTGGCTAAAGTCGGTGTGGCAGATGCGGTTCTTAGTTTCGGAGCCGTGCTGGTATTTCCACACTGATGGCCCCCTGCTGATCCTCCGCCTGCTTCCGCTCGTCCCAGGCCGGCGCCCGAGGATCGGGGCCATCCTGGAGCAGCCGGGGCGGTCTCGAGGAACGGAAAGCGCGCACGGGGCCGCACGGGGCACCGCGGGAGGGGGGCAGCCGAGCGATGGCGGGCCCTCGCGCTCGGGCCCCGCAGGCTGCGCAAGGAGGTCGGCCGCGGGGGCTTCGGCCGGGTGTACCTCGCCCACGACACGTGGAACGGCGAGGAGGTGGCCGTGAAGGTGCCCTTGCGATCGTTTCCCTCCTCGTGCTGCCGTCTTCGTGGTCGTCGGCGTCGACGTCAGCATTCTCGTGATCGTGATCGCTGTCGTCGTCGTCGTCGTCGTCCTCCTCCTCCTCTTCTCCCTCCTCCGGCTTCTCTTCTGGCTCCTCGCTCTCCTCCTTCTCATCGTGTTCGTCCTCTTACGTTTCTTCCTCCTCCTCCTCTTCCCTCTCCTCCGTCTCCTATTCCTCTTTCCTCCCTACTCCAGTTCGTCGCTCCTCCTCCCTCATCACCATCAACATCAACATCAGCATCAACAGCATAATCATCAGCATCAGCATCAGCATCAGCATCACCATCATCATCATCATCATCATCATCAGCAGCAGCAGCAGCAGCAGCAGCATCCTCATCATCATCATCGTCACTATCGTTTCGCCTTGCTCCGCCTCTTCGGTGATTCGGTGATCCGGACGGTTCTCCTGGTGAAAGGTGGCGCCCTCGACCCTTCCCGCCAGTGAACTGACGGTCCTCCTCTTCCTCCTGCCCCTCCTCCTTATCCTCCTCCTCCTCCCTCTCCTCCTCCCTCTCCTCCTCCCCCTCCTCCTGCCCCTTCCTCCCTCTCCTCCTCCCCCTCCTCCTTATCCTCCTTCTCCTCGTGGTCGTGAGCCGTCTGTGTCCTACCCCACGTCCTCGCCCCCCCCCTTGTCCTCACGGTCGTCATCCTCGTCCCCCTGTCCTCGCCCCACTCGTCCCCCCCCTGTCCCCCGCCCCTGCCTCGCGTCCTCGCCCCACTTGGTCCTCCCCTGTCCCTTGCCCCTGCCTCGCGTCCTCGCCCCGCCTGCCCCCCCCCTTGTCCTCGCCGGGAGCTCGCGCGCGCCCCCCTCCCGCGGAGGTGTTCCTGAACAAGCCTGGGGCCAAGCGGAACCAGTTCCACCCCCTGCGCGAGGCGCGCGCCGCCCAGCCCCTCCTCCCATCCCTCCCCTTCCTCTTCCTTCCTCCTCCTCTCCTCCTCCTCCCCTCTTCCTCCTCCTCCTCCTCCTCCTCCTCCTCCTCCTCCTCCTCCTCCTTCCTCCGCCTCCTTCCTCCCCTCCTCCTCCTCCTCCCCTCCTTCCGCCTCCTTCCCTCCGCCTCCTTCCTCCTCTTCCCCCCATCCCGCCCTTCCTCCTCCTTCCCTCCTTTCCCCGCCCGCCCGTCCAGCCCCTCCTTTCATCCCTCCCCGTCTTCCTTTCCCCGCCCTTTCTTCTCCTTACCTCCTCTTTCTCCCCCCTCCTCCACATCCCCCCTTCCCGGGGCTTGGGCCCAGTTCGTGGGCTTGAATCGCAAACGCATGATGTTTCGGAGATCCGCGTGGATTTCTCGGATCTGCGCTGGGAGCTGCGCTTCACTGGGAGCAGCGTGGCGAACTCCGCACACAATCGCCAAAGGCTCCAGACCGAGCCTTTGCCTGTGCCGCGCGCGCGCGCTCTGGCAGATCAGCGATGCTCGCTTCGTCGGACCAGGCACTACAGTCGGACCGAGGTATAAGACCGAGGTCGGTTCGGGGAGGGTACCCTAATGTCCTTCGTGGTTGTTGGATGTTCTTGTGCACCCTGGGGAGGACATACACCCTCGGATGCTCTGTGTGTTTTGGCCGACGGAGGGTCTCATGCTCTCGAGGGAGGCTCTTCTGGCCCCGGTCCGGCTCTGGGCGCACGGCACGGACGAGAGGCCCTCGCCGACGCCGCCCTCCAGCTGGCAGAAGCCTCGGAGCCCAGGCCCTCTCTCCCCCGGCGGCCGCCGCGGCCGGGCGGCGAGGCGCCCCCCCGAGGTTCCCCCCCCCTTCCGTCCCCCCCCCCCCCCTCGCCCCCGGGGAGAGAGGCGTCACCGCAGTTCCCCCCCCCTCCCCCCCCTCCGTCCCGCCCCCCCCCCTTCCCTGCCCCCCCCCTCGCCCCGGGCCCCCCCGAGTCCCCCCCCCTTCCCGTCCCCCCCCCCCCTTCCGTCCCCCCCCCCCCCCCCCCTCGCCCCGGGGGAGAGAGGCGCCACCGAGGAGGGGGGCCTCCTCGGAGAGGCTTCCGGGAGCTCCCCGGAGAGGCCTCCGCGGAGGGGCTTCCTCGGAGGGGCTTCCTCGGATGGGCTGCCTCGCCCAGAGGCCTCCCCAGAGAGGCCTCTGGGGGCTCCTCGCGGGCCCTCGGCGGGCGCCTGCCCGCCCCGCGAGCTGCTCGCCGGCACGCTGCGCCCCGCCGGCGGCTGCCCGGGGGCGCGCGCCTCGTGCCGGACGGCCGCCGCAGGCTTCGGCCTTGGCTTGCACACCGAAGGCCTCGGGAGGAGGAGGAGGAGGAGGAGGAGGAGGAGGAGGAGGAGGAGGACGAGGAGGATAAGGAGGAGGCGGAGGAGGAGGAGGAGGAGGAGGAGGCGGAGGAGGAGGCGGAGGCGGAGGAGGAGGAGGGAGAAGAGAGGAGAGGAGGAAGAAGGAGGAGGAGGAGGAGGAGGAGGCCCGGGCCGGGGGGACCTGTAGCATGATGAGGGAGAGCAGGGATGCTGAAAGTGAGGGCAAGGGGGGCGAGGACGCGGGGTTGGACACAGACGACCCGCGACCATGAGGAGAAGGAGGAGGAGGAGGAGGAGGAGGAGGAGGAGGAGGGAAGGAGGGAAGGAGGGAATGAGGAGCAGGAGCAGGAGCAGCCATGGGACGGGCAAGGAAGAGGACGACGAACATACGGAAGAGAAACAGGAAGATGAACAGGATCGAATCACAAATAACTACGCAAACATAAGCTGTCGTAGGTCCGCGCGAATTGCTTCGGCGCCAGACCCCCCTTCATTGCGCGCGGGGCGCGCAAGAGGTTGCGCTGGAGGCGCCGCCAGGGGCTCCAGCGCAGATCCAAGGAATCCGCGCGGACCTCCGAAAGTGCATGCTTATGCAGCTTTCTGTCCCTCTACAGGCGAAGGAGGAGGAGGCGGAGGAGAAGGCCAGGGAGGGCCAGGATGGGACCTGGAGGGGCGGGGGGAAGGCCAGGCAGAGAGAGAGAGAGAGAGAGAGGAGCGGCAGCAGCGGGGGCCCGGAGGATCAGGATCACGAGGTTGGTGAGGAGGGGCGCAGGACGCAGGAGGAGCATGCGGAGCGGCAGGAGGAGGAGGAGGAGGAGGAGGAGGAGGAGCACGCAACAGGTTCACCCTACTGTCTGAGCAACGGCATAAATGAGGAGGAAGAGGGAGGAGGAGGAGGAGGAGGAGGAGGAGGAGGAGGAGGAGGAGGAGGACGACGACGACGACGACGACGACGACGACGACCCCAACGACGAGGGGTGGGCTTGACGAGGAGGGGGGAGCGGAAGAGGCTCGACAAGTGGGGGAGAGGGGGGCGGCTCCCTCGTCCTCCCCCCTCCCCGCCACCGCTTCCCCCTCCCCTCCCCCTCGTCCCCTGTGCGCTCCTCCCCTCCCCATCCCTCGCCCCTGCACCCCCCTCGCCCCTCTGCAACCTTCTCTCCCCCATCCCTCCCGCCCCCGCTTCTCGAGGGGGCTCGGAGGAGGGAGGGGGAGCATCGGAGGAGGGCCAGTCGAGCAGCGGGCGGTGCTTCGGCAGGGGACAACACGTTGAGAGTTGAAACGCGCGTGGTGCCCTCCCCCCTCCCTCCCAGAATCAACGTAACGCCCCCCCTCCCCCCCAGGCGTCCCTGGCACTGCCACAGTGCGTCTGGCGCCACGGACTGTGGTGCCGGGCCCTCATGGCGAGGGGGGGGGGTGCGTTGTGCCCCCGCCCCCCTCCCTCCCACCCACTGGCGCCTGCTATCGAGGCGAATGAAAAAATGCTCTCGTAGACGCAGACACCAATAAACGTAGATGTCCATGAGCAGATAGGAAAACATTGGAGATGGAGGGAACACGAAAGTCAAGAACAGATTTGCTGATACGTGGGAGTTTGGGAATCTGTGTCGATTCATTCCTGTCTCCCTGGGCTCCTTTTAGTCCTCCCTGATGTTTTTGCTCGTCCTCCTTGGGGCCCCCTGGAGGCTTCTCGTCGCCAAGGCTGGGTCCGCCGCCACAGTCCTGGGAGGGGTCTGGAGACCGATTTTGAGCTGACTTCGGCTGGGCAGGGGAGCCGCCGTTGTTCTCGAGCGGCTCGCTTCCGAGACAGAATGAGCAGGGGCTGGGCCAGGAAGAGAAGGATGAGATGCATGATGCGAAGGAGGAGGAGGAGGAGGAGGCGGCGGCGGCGGCGGCGGCGGCGGAGGAGGATCGGCGGCGAGCGAGGGGAGGAAGTGAGGAGGAGAAGGCCTTCTGAGAAGGCGGCGGGGGCTTCTCAGAAGCCCTCGCGCCTTCGGAGAAGTCTTCTGCGTCTTCGGGGAAGGCCTACCAGAAAACTCATCGGAAGGCCCGGGGACTTCCGAGCCCTCTGGCAAGGCCTCCCCCTCCTCATCTCCCCCCCCCCCGCCGCCGGCTGCCGACGAGAGGGGAGAGGGGGACGGGGCATGGGCCGCCCGCCCGTGCAGGCTACGATGCTGCGCTGGTCCGAGGACCCCTTGTTCCCTCACTTCAAGGCCCCCCCCCGCGCCCGCGCAGCGGCGCACGGCCCCGCGCCAGGGCCTCGCTGCGCCCTGGCCCCTCGTGCCCCCAGCGGCTGCCCCCTGCTCCTGCGCCTCCTGCCCCTGCGGTCCAAGGCGGCACAGGAAAGGCGGTTCGCGCTCCTCCCGGAGCGACTCGCTCCCGACTTCGC